CTCGAAAGGACCCCTACATTGGCATGACCTTCGGCGATGCCTGGCGCCTCTGGCACGAGCCGGCTATTCTGGTTATGGCAGAGCATCCCTTTACGTGAAGGTTCGGAATGCTTGTGACAGCTTGTGGTTTCGAATGCAATCGAATGCCTCCAGCTGTATCCTTCCAGATTGTCAGTGTTGTCGACTGCTGGACTGACAAATCCATATGTAGAAGTTCGTTGTGCCTTTGACCACATATATGTTCTACCCACCAGATACCCTAAGAATCAACCCTAAGCATGATCCAACATCCATCCTCAATCAAAGCTTTCGCATACCCTCACCCCACCTCCAACCCTGACTCCAGCCTCTTCCCGCCTTGAGCTATCCTTCTCCCACCTAAAGCAGGCGCAAGAGAAGCCATGGATATGCCAAGCCACAGAAGTCTTTCGCTGGGCTTCCCTTCCGGCTCTGAGGACGGGGTTCAACATCAGCTTTGTGGCCCGGCAATCAAGGGCAGTGGGTGATTCATTACGAGGCGTCCGCGACGTGCAGCCTCGCAACAGGTCAAAGCCTTTAGCCTGCCCTGCAGCAAAAGACTCAGGGTCGCTGGCGATCAGAACGGCTTGAGAGGAAATCCGGGATTACAAAATCCAAAGAAATGCATCATTTGCCCGGCAATTAGCTTTTCATTTTTGGAGGATCAGAGTTGCCCAAAAGCTGAGGGACAGGCCTTGAGTCTGGCATCCAAGGTGGAGGATGCAGTGGTTTCAGCCCTCAATGGTGCCTCGGCAAGCGACTGAGTTACTTGGATTAGTTTCGTGGAAGTAATTCTAGAGGGAGCCATGAGAGGTGCCCAAGTCTAGCAGAATTCTCCTTAGGGGATCCATAAGGCTATTGGTTCCTTGTTCCTTCTTCTTAACCTGTCGGCAGTCGCGAGTTTCTCCTGCTTGCAAAGCTCGTTGTCGGTTTCGGTGACATCCATTCTCCACAGCCTTTCGAAATCAAAGTCCGCGATGTGTTGTCTCCGTGGCATGACCTGCTATGGTTGTGCATCCCGACTTCGCGTTCGCAACCAATCCCGACTTCTCTGCATGCGGGGTGTGTTCTCAAACTCGGGAACCTGGGTGGTTTCACAAGCCGCGTAGAGCTACCACTTGCAGGGGCCACGTTTCCCATTTTTGTGGGCCGGACACCGGACATCCATTTCAGCGCAGGTGCTATCGCACCAAAGCTGGTGCTGCCGCACCGCATGGTCTTCCCCATGGGCAGCTTGCGCCAGGAGTCCTCACTGCCTATGGACCTCGTGCTGCTCAGTGAAAAAAGGGTGGGGATGGTGGGGGTAGGCTGGATGGGCAAACGTTGCAGGAGATCCTGTTGAAACTTAGTGACTACTGCATACAAGACAGACAAGACATAACCATGGATCTTTGGACAGAGTGTTTGCACAAAACCAAAGAGCTCGGTACAACGCACGCAGTGCAGTCTCCCAAAAAGGTGGCCCAACCAAGAGCAACAAGCTGAAGGGTTGTAGGGGATGATGTGAAGATGTGCAGCAGCAGACCTTTCATTGGTCCCAACATGTTCTTGCGAATCATTCCTAGCTAATTGTATACCTTGGCTGCACGGCCAAGCTCAAGAACTCTCAAACAGGTGTGAACAGCATATGACAGTTGACTCACGCCGTGCTTTTGACCGCTGGCTATTTTGCAGGTCTCAGGATTTGCAGCCCGACCATGTTTCCGTTTGGCGTCTCAGCCAACGTGAAACCCATGACAGCCCAGTCTGCTGACTTGATGGCTGGTTTCTTTTTCCATTTTCACGCCCAGGATGCCGCGGCCTCGTGGCTGCCTGCGGATCACTGTCATAGGCGGGACCAGCTCACAAATGATGGACATACATCCCCAAAGGTCTCTCGGTCTCTCATTAAAGTTCATGGCCCATCTGAGAGGGAAGTTCACTTTGATCCGATCCCGAGTCCCTTAGAGCCACCTGTCACTTGCAGGTTTCTAACCAGAAGACTGGATGCTCAAGAAGCCTGAAACCTCTCACAGTGCGCAATCTCCCAGTTTGTTTGGAACCGCCGATGATAAGGAAGCAGTTTGAGCGGGTCCCAGTCCACTCAAGTGCCAACGTTGCACTGGATCGTTTGCAGAACGGTTGCTGCAAGCCGACCTCAAACAAAAACGCCTTCTCTTCACCTGAGCCACAATGAAAATCCGGGTAGCTGAAGGTTAGGAAGGGCTAGTCCCCTTGCCATAAATGGGCCCCCCTTCGAACTCTTATAGTTTTGGGTCCACCGTTCCGCCTTCATGGCAGGTGTGTCCAAGGGGCTGGTGGGCACCGAGTGGAAGCTCCAAAGCCTCCTCACCGGCGATCGCTCCAACGATCCGCGCCTAAGCAAACGAAGCAAGGAAGCCGCGATTCTCGGGATGGGTTGAGATTAGAGTTTTATGCACCCCGGGCCCCATGTCGGTCTGTCACACTTCAATACATGAAAACAGCAGTGTGTGGATGCTTGCAAACAAAAACTGACACACACACACACACACGCGCACACAAGTGCAAGCAGAATGCACGAGTCTCTTTTTTTTTGGAACTGAGCTGTTGGCGTTTTGCCGCGGATTGTTACCTTTGAAGGTACGTCACGGTGGATTTGGGCGGTGCGCGAGACCGAATGATGAGGACCCAAGTACCCGGCAGAGAGTGTCGTTTTTTTTTTTTTTGATGGGCCCATCTGGGTGTCATGCTTTGCATGATGCGTGCGTTGATCCTGCTAACATGGGGTCCCTCTTTTGCGGATAAGTTTCATTCGCTTGCTTCCCCGGATTCCACATTCCCAGTACCTAGCCAATGCTCGATTGTTAGATGCTTGCTTGCGCTTTTTGTGGCTCTTGAGGGACATGGGAAGGGCTGCAGGCGGAGCCGCCAACATTGGAGGGACGCGTCTTGGTGGAAGATATGTGCTGTTTGTGTGTGGACTTGATTTGTGTGGCCATAGCTTGAGCGGATCCTCTCCGTTGAGAAGGGACCTTCATGCCAGAAACATGTTCCTTTGAAGGTTTGACTTGTCGCTCCAGGACCCCCACATGCTATGGTGATCTGACACCGGTCTGGGAAGAGGACAACGTCTTCCACTTTGTCTCTCGGCATTAAAAAGGCTCCAGGGTGATGGCCTTGGTGAAGGTCCGGCTCGACGTGATTTTGTAATCATGCGGACATAGTCCATAGTCTTATAACGCGCACAACTACACACCAGGCAGATCGTAGATGCTGGGTTTCAGTGGGAGATAGAGCGACGCGGCGAGGGATCGAGAGAGCGAGAGAGCAGAGAACGTGCTGAAGTGGTGCATGTCTCTTCTCAACCTTTGTTCTCGTCCACGCTGGTGTTTCCCAAAGAGGTGACGAAAGCTCGAACCTTTGACATTGTTGCAGCCTCCCATTGCTTCACAAAGTAATCCTACTAAAAGCTGAAATATGCGAAACAAACTCTCAGGGCACCGGCTGTGCGATTGCACACTGTGAGACATAGTTGCAAGTGGACTCAGGCCATTTCCTTCAGGCCGTTTCCTTCGGCCACCATGCTCCATATCTATTGCTTAGGGTTCAACCTTGACTTATTGCCGAGATGGTTGGAGTTGCAAGCGAGAAGCCAGCATGGAAGGCTAGAATATCATGTCCCTGCGTCAAGGGCTTGCGACACGAAACAATTCGCTTAAACTAATCTCCCAACAGAGTCATGCCTCCGTTGGTCGTCAGCAGCGTTGCTCAGGTTGTTGACGCGCTGTGCCTTGGTCTGGGTTGCGCTTGGTGTTTGAATAGGTAGCAGATCAAGAGTTTGTGTTTATTTGCTTTTGGCATTTGATCCTATTGAGATTCTAAACATGCGCAGAATGAGCTTGATGCTTGCAGAGGCTCGGGCGAGGCTTTGGTTGTTTTGCGTGGGGAGGCGAGACTGACAGGTTTTGGGTGCTCTCAGACATGGATTTTGCTTTCGTTTGGGCGTAGGCCACCTCAGCAAGTGCCCGAATCAAGCATTGCTTCACTAGATCGAAGTGCAGCTGATAGGAGCACAGCTGAAATGCGTGTTTTTTGCTCCCCTTCGAGATATCTTGCCTTGTCTCGCCAAAAGAAACATGACGCAAACTGCAGGGGCTTGCAGCACTTGAACTTTCGTATCTACGATGATGGGCTGCTGCAGCTGTTCCGCGAACAGCAGATAGGCTGGGAAGTGAGTGCCACGCTCGTTGAAACTCAGTCCTCAAGGCCCCAAGACCAGCAATGTCAAGCACATGTGAATGCGCAGGAGCAACACGTATCGTCACATACCCGGACAAATCCCGTCCATTCCTGTTGTAGGCTTTTCTCTTTTGGGGTGCGCTGAGAGATCCTGTCAGGCACTGCCAGCCATGAGGATCTCATGGCGCGGAAATTGGGTGTGAGCGCCGTGGCCGGATGGAACGTTGGCCCATGGATCTGGTGTCGTGGAGGTTCAGAGGGAAAAAAGAGGATGCATGAATGGGTCTTCTCGGCCAGCTGATTCGAAGTACACCAATTCACTTGAAAGTGTCACTCCTCACTCCATGCCACTGCGATGAAGGTGGGCATATATGAACTCCGCTGAAACACAGCAATCCGGTCGGACCGCCCACGCACCATTCCCACGGATGCTGAGCATGGCGCTTTGTGGCAATGCCACTCTGGACAAGACCTCTCCATTTGTACCTTGCAAATATGGACCCGCCATGGCCAATCAGAATGTATGACAACTCAAATATAGCTAGGCCCCCTCCAACTGGTTGGCTGGCTTTCCATGAGGGCCTGCTTAGCTTTCCACAAAACCATCAGCACTTACCAGTTCCCTATGTCCACATACAGGCAATAGCATAGTTTGGGGACACGATCACAGACACACACACACACACAATTGGGTCTTGAAGTAGCATGTGCGTGGTCTTTTGGTTTCCCTTGAACTCGTCCAGAAATCGGTTCCCCTATTTTGAACGCAACATTCGGTTTGGCCGAGGCGTCATGGAGCTCTTCGGCACAAGGTCCATGAACTTTTTTGCCGCCGGCCTGATTGAGCCGGGTGGGAGTGGTTTGTGAGTCGTGTGATTTCGTCAATCTGCCAAGGGCCTTTTGTATGGTCGGTTGGTTGGGCATTGAGTAGCCTGACCCGTGACACCTGTGTCCTACAGGGTTTGCTGTTTGGGCAACATCGCTGGGAATGAGGTACAGTGTTTTGGGGCGCTTGTTGCGGGGAGGCTTCTGCTGTAGCAGCTTGCAACCCCGAATGCTTTTCTTTCCTATCGGTAGCTCCAGTCGAGTTTGAAGCTTTTGTTTCCGTGGTGGCTTTCAGCTGGCTGTTTCCTGTCATTGGAACCTTTGGTCACCTTAATGTGGATTTGTTTTTTCAAATATCTCAGAATGGGAACCTCAATTTGTTTGAGGCACAATGCCAAGAGCGCAAGCCAGTTGACGGCTTCCTGACACATCCCTCGGAAGCTTTTGTGGTGTTTCGCTCTGAGGACCAGGAGCAGAAGCTGGACACCAGCTGCATGCTGGATACCTCGTGGCCAGGCGGGGCCTTTTTGTGTTGGTTACTTGCAACCAGAAGCAGAAGGGATAGGGAGCCATGCAATCAATTCCCTCCATGTTCGCCTTTGTTTCTCGCTTTCAACAGGGCGCAAGAGAGAGAAGAAAAGACAACACACAGGAACCTGACACCAGAAAGTGCCAAAAGACACCAAAAGACACCGAACACGCAGGACCGGGCTGAGCAAAACCTTTTGCTTCAGGCCACGAGCGTGAGGACCAGACCAAGGCGCAGCTGAACCTCAGCACGGGGGCCCAGCTGAGCCATGTGCCAGCAGCCAAAGGTTGGGTGAGCTGATTTAGGGACTGTCGGTGCATATCGCCGCCAGGTGCTTTCGCGCGGTGAGTTGCTCGGGGTCGGTCTTTGGTCAGCTTTTTGCTCCGTTGGCTCAGCCGCATCTGGCGTGGCAGCCTATTTGTGCTGACGATCGTGCACCTAGCAAGCGGCAAAATGTTTCATTCGGGAAGATTGGGGCAAGGTGGAAGGTCACTCGGAAACCCTGTTTTTGTTGGCGTGCGAATCCGACCCCAAATCCATGGCCAAACATTGACCCTAGTCGGTCGGTGGGTACCCCCACGCGCTTTGTCCTGACCTAAAAAGCAAAGCCGCATCCCAACTAGCCAACCCTAATCAACCCTAAACCCACCCGAACCCAACCTTATTCCAACCCTAACCCATTGCAAACCAAGCCTAAACCCTATGTACCCCCCCCATACTCAGCCCAAACCAGCACTAAACAAACTCTGAGCACGCCCTACACCATCCCTAAACCAACTCTGAACCATCCTAATCCACCCTAAGCCAACCCTAAACCAGCCCTAAACTCAGCTTAAGCCTGAGGCATTCATTGGCGACCCATCATTGAGAGCAAGCCTTCGCTGATCCCGCAGGCGCGGCGAGGCAGTTGATGGCACGCGCAGATTCGAGAAGATTTTGATCTCCCTGAGCTCATTATTTTGACCGAGATTGGGGTTGATCAAAGTCAGAAACTGGGGTTATCTCCCTTTAACCTACCACTTACCGAGTGACTTTGACAATGGTAAAATGCCGGGCCAGTATTTTCAGTGGTTTTTTGGGACGGATGTCGAATGCCGCTCAGATCTTCAAGGGATGACTGGTCAGGTCAGCCAGGGATTCCCCAAAAGATCTACACTGCATGTTGACTTGGTGAGGGATCAAAGGCGTCCTTACATCTTCTTGCCTCAAAACACGCTGACAGATGTAAGACAGCTCTCGCGGCATGGCCCTGTTCATCGACTTATCGACTTCCACCAACCCCATGGCCTCACCAAAAATTAAATCAAATCCACCAACGCATGCCAGGGGATAGGCCGAAGGCTACATGTAGGCCGTGCTGAGATCTGCCTGGTTTCGTGCAGAAGAAGCATTAAATGCTTCACTAAATGCTTCTTCTTTTCCCCTTTTCCACGTTTGCACATTCCTCTCTTCGTCGAGAGACTGCCATAGGAGGTCTTCGTGGAAGACGACGAGGACCTCGAGCCGCCGCTGTGGCCCCGCTTCGTGCTCCGCATCGGCCTGCAGAGCCTGCAGATGCAGCGATTCAAGGGCAAGCGCACGGACATGCTCCGCGGCCGAGGAGAAGCCGTCGGTGCCTACTGGGCAACCCATTTGCGACCGCTTGTTGCTCGAGACACCCCATTGAAAAACCTTTGCAAGTCCCACCATTTGTCCACTTTCAGAGACAATCACCTGACTTGTTAACAAATTGCTTGCCACACACATGGAGCTGAAAGCGGAGGTCTAAAGCTTTGGTAAACCATGCTAATGCGATGGCAAAACTGCTGGACGGTGTTTCTTTGTCTCGTCCCTAGGCCCTGAGGTGTGAACTCTGCTTCTGGCCTCGGCAGGTGTGTGTCTGTGAGTGTGTGTGCGTGTGCGTATGTGCGTATGTGTGTATGCTGCAGCTAACATAGCCAAATATTCACCCCTCATAGGGCCCTCTTCCCCTTTGCCGCATGTTGAAAGCACGCGCTGGGCAATTGCGGGTTTTTTCGGGCTGGGTCTTGGTGCGAAGTCAGGTTCTTCGCGAAGGTCGCCATGCTGCCGGGCTTCAACGCGGCGGGGTGCCTGGAGGAGGAGCCCAAAGAAGGCCTCACGGAGGTCCATAGCAAGAAGGTCTACCCCCAGCACCAGGGGGAGCCGGGACCTGAGCGGGGCTTCGAGCGTTAATGGCTTGGAGCCCAATGGTTTGGATTTGAATTTGCACCCCTTCTTGTAGAGGATAAATGGGGGGTTTCCCACCCCTTAACCACCAAACCGCCGATTCGGCTCCAAACCATCAATCGGAGGGAAGCCGATTTGAGTTCCGTGCTGCTTCCAGCACGCACCCGCTGAGGGATCGCTCGGAGATGGTGAGCAGGACTGGGAATGGGAAACCAAAAAGCTACTAAAAGCAGAAGAAAGCTCATTTTCCTGAGCTGATTGTTCGGAAGCTGGTTTTGTTTTCAAACCTGTTGTTAGCATTGGATGGGACTTGCTGGTTTACAGATGGAGCACCTCCACATTTGTTGCGCGCCTTGTTCTGAGGGCAATGTTGCATCCTTGAGAAGACTTTAAACTTGTTGGGTGGCAAACAACAAGTTCTTGGACCTGTTTTGGCAAATCCGCTCGATTGGAAGTGAGTTGATTGCAAGCCAGCTTCGCTTGATCTTCTCACGCTCTAGATACAAGCGCTTTTCAGTAAGTTGTATTTTTTTGTTTGTTTTTGTTTTGATCTTCTCATGATGTAGACACACGATATTTTCAGGAAGGGATAGCTTTTCTTTTGTTCGCGATCATTTATTTTCATGAGCTGGATCCTTTCATGGAGTGGATGCCGGTCTTCCCAATTTTCGCCACTTCGACGCCGAGTGGAGAGGATGAGCGGTGGCCTTCTGGGCCATGCTGGGCGGGTGGCAGCTCGGAAGAGAAAGGGTGCAAGTGGACAGGCACAGGCCAGACATATACAAAGAAATAGTAATATCGACGATATATGCAAAGGTTAACTTTTTTTGTGCTGTCGCTTGTCTTGGTCCAGCGATCGCATTTTAGCTTTTTGGTTGGCATAGAGGTTGGAACTTTATTTAACTCACTAAAAGTTAAGCTCTTAGCAGGGGATTTGAAAACAGCCCAGTCAAGGTAAGAAAGGGGATGACATGCGGCTTACGAGATGGAGGCTCACGAAAAGTCCAATGCCATAGAAATGCTAGGCAGACAGGATCTCAGGTTGTTGCACTGCAAAGGTGCAGGAAATGCTTGTGGTTTTCCGCAATAGCCATGAGGGTCTTCGTGTCTCACTTCGTATGTTTTGATCCATCCTTCAGGCGTCCATGGCGCTCATTGAGCCCAGAGTTGCATTTCCGTTTTCCGGGCCCGGCAAGAACATGGCCAGTTTTTCCTCGGGGCATCCGGTGACCGTGCTAAGGAGCCTCTTTGGCAACATGGGGAATTCCCTTTCCTCTTTGGCCGGTGGGTTGGAAGGTCTCCAGAACGCGAATCCGAATAAAGGGGTAGATGGACTTTCGCCGCCGCCTGCACAGCGTCTGGCATTCCTTCAATGAAGAATGGTAGGTAGGGAATGACCTTCCGGGTGTTGGGCATGAACATAGGGATTCCCTTAAAGGAAAGCATACAGGATGGTTTATTGGGGTCATTGCCTCTTCTTCTTTTTTTTGCTGAGAATCAGCAAGAAAAGTCCCACAGTTGATCTCGAGGATGTGCTCTTCGCTACAAGCTCGCTTCCGCAAGATGGGTGCTTGAAAGAGCTGGTGGTTTCTTATTGGTTTTGCTTCAAACGCTCACATGGCTCCCTGCCAGATGCATGGTGCAAATCGCATGAGGCCTACTTTGACCAGGGCTTCCGTTTCCTGGTGCACAACCCAACCAGCAGCAAGGCAAAGTGGGCAGCCAATGGCCGGAAAGGAACGTCAGGGCTCCTGGAGACTGAAGCTTTGGCTTGGGCCCCGTTGAAATTCTGGGCGCTGGCTTTGGCTGCTATTTTGCCGTATGCTTCGCTTTGGTATTCCTTTGTAAAGTGCTTGGCAGGTGCACTTAACCTTCTACTCCGTTGCTGATTTCGACAAGACCGACGTCACGGAACTAGGCAAGGCCGTGCTTGGCTGTCGACTGCTCAGTGTCTTGATGATGTGCCCTGACCCCAGCAACGCGGCCCATATTTTTGCATTGCTTCCTTCCCATTCCCATGGTCGACCTGGCCACTCAGAAGTATCTCTCAAACGGCGTGGCAGGCGAAGCAATGATCTGGGGAGTCAGCAATGGCAAGTTTTATTGTGTTGACACCCGAAGGCCGCATAGGGCGAGAGTAGCAAAGCTGGCGGCTGTCTCTCTTTCTGTTTTTCTTTCTTTCTCTCTCTCTCTCTCCCCCCCTCCCTCCCTGCCCCCCTCCCTCCCTGCCCCCCTTCCCTCCCTGCCTCCCCTCCTCCGCCCCCTTGCCGTGCGCTTGCCCTGGACAAAAAACCCTTCTTGCCCGCGGGTCCATTTGTTGATCATGCATCATCTTGTTTTTGGGTGGACGCACGCACGAAAGGTTGACCAGCTCGAGGCAGCCCCAACACGCCAAGCAAACAAGTGGATAGAACAAGGGTAGAAAGGCTGCTGGCTTCGACGGCAACTAGACTTTATCAACTGGACCTGTGAAAGTCCACAAGTGGAAAAGCAAATGGGTCAATCACTTTTGCCCCTTTGGGGCTCAGTACCTGTCACTCTGGACTCCCTTCCGTGCCCATACGAGATAGGACCGACGGTCAACACCCGTTTCCAGGCGAGATGACGGTGGAGCTGAACTCCTTGCTCCAGGAGAAGACGTTGTCCATGGATCTGAACGAGGCACCGGAAGGAAATTAGGTGGTTGAGCGGAGGGACGTATTTTGCTCGGAGAACACCTGATTCCCGGTATTTGGTGCGGGCGACCAGTTTTGCTTCTGTTTGATTTTGGAACAGCCCTTGTGGCCCTCGTAATTCTTGACTCGTTGGCCAGCCGCGCTGGTATTTGCATTTCGTGGGGACTGCTTTGTTGAGGATGGATGGCCCCCAGTCTGCTTGGACAGTTTTTCTCAGCAGGGCAACTTCTCTCCTGCAGCATCCACAGTTTCCGGCTTCAGTGCGAGCACCTGTTGGGCAGTTGACTTCAGAGCAGCCTAAAACGAGATTCCATGAGTTTATGACGTAATAACATAATTTGGGTGCACACCTTGCCTGGACTGAAAGCTCCATTGCAAATCGTCCGGGTTTCGGTTGCCGGGCTATATCAGGAATGTTGAGGCTGAAATCCCCTGTGAGAAGGATTCGTTTGAATATTGAGCAAGATGTCATAAGACTGAGCCTAAACACCTGGGAGGCAAAGGGGCTCTTGAAATCAAATATCTCATATTCATTAACAGCATGATAGGTGCTTAGATGGCGAGCTTGATTCAGAATGTAAAACATGTTGCTCGTACGTTAATGCAGACAAACGTCTCTGCCGCGTCCCGCCCGGGCAGCCGCTGGACAATTGGACGGGCGACGCGCCCGGCACCTTCAAAGGAGGGAAACACCTGGCTGTGAGACGGAGGGCTCTGCTCGGAACCTGCTTGCTCCAGCAGTTTATGTGCAATCCGACAACTCATTGTGGTTGATTTGTCGGCTTATGACTTGGCCTGTGCGCAATCCTTGGGAAGGACACTTTCAGCTGTTCCAGATCCACCACTCTGCGATGAGACAGGCACAATGATGGAGTCTTACCCGGGGCCGACAAAATCGCTGTTTTAGCGGCTATTTTGCTGTCACTGATGTGGATTGAACTGTCCGCCCCAGCTGAAAGCACCACTCAGACTGCAACGTCACTGCGTCTTCATTTGGAAGGCACAGAAGCATATCGACAAGCCTCCCGAGCTTGAATGTAGTGGCGACATCTGCCATACTCATTGAGCCTTTGGGGTATGGCCAAACCTTGGATGATCCACTCAACTAGGAAACTAGGAAAGCCTGAGGAAAAGGACGTGGTCGATTCACAGGCGATGGCCGGTAGCCACATGCAGATGCAGACGAAGACCGCGGCGAAGCAGGATGCCATGCAAATGGCGCCTTGGTAAGGACGCCAGAAGGCCATGCCTTGAATTACTCCCCCTTCTTCACCGCTTTTTCTCTCTGTTGCTGCCTGCTTTCGTACCCGTTTCTGCTACCATATCTCCGTGCACATTGAACTCAACAGATGTCACAAGAGATGGCACGTCGGGGCACACTATAATTGATCAGCAAGCCAAGAGAGGTGGCCTACCAGACTCCTTTCTCTCGTTTGAAATTGCGCTTGTGCAACATGACACGGGATCTCCCGTCATTCTGCCTTTGCGATCCCTACACTTTGTTGACTTCGTGCGATCGTTGCATGCGTGTTGCTTTTGATTTCAGGCAATAGCAAACCATGGATGACGAGGTCCCCTTCCCCATGCAGCAACAAAAACCAAACAACGTGCTCCCAATCCCAATGCTGTCTTGGGGCAGAGCCGCCAGCTCCCACTAATCCAAGCTGGTAGAAATCTGAAGGGTGAATGAGTCAACTGCTTCACTCGACCTTTGGGTTGGAAGCTTCCATGCGGTTCCACGCGGTCCGAGGCGCAGCGTGCCTCCAAGTTGCGCGCGGAGGCGGAGGCCCTGGAGCGGGAGGCACACAAGAAGAACCGCCCGGGGCCCTGGCTGTTCTTGCCGGCGAGTGGGTTTGGCCGGGTTTGCGGGTTGTATGTTTGAGGGTTCAGAGTTCAGGCCGGACTTCGCTATGTGTTTGGGATGGGGTGAGTGTGATGCGATGAGCTAGGGTGTTTGGAAGTTGGGTACCGCTGCAGTCCATCCGCGCAATGGCAGCATGGTGACCACCTTGGGAAACGGTGACGGGTGCAGTAGAGCCACCAGCCTTTGGCCAACTTTCGTGGCTGCATCTCACCTGGGTCGCATGGGTTCGCTTCCAGATAGAAAAGGTAAAGATTGTACCTACGCAGGTGAGATGAGCCGCAGATCGAAGAGCAACAACCACATGCTCAAGGCGGGATGCACCTAAGACAGTCCATGTTCTCTCCTCAAATGTGAGACTGCAAATGATGGTTTTTGCCTACTCTTTTGTTACGTGGGCGCGTTTAACCCGCAAAACCTCCGCGAGGTGAACCATCCAACCGAATCAAGTCAGGTCCGCTGTTCTTCGTCAATAGTTGCGAACGATTCGTGGCTTCATCTAAGCCGCAAACAACTTCATACATGCATTTCAAAATTCACACATTGGGAACTTGAAATAGACAAGAGGCACATCACATGATCATCGAAACAATTATTTTCTTGCTTCCCATCTCGCTCGAAACAACTTATCCTCAACTTCAATGATTCTGCATCCGTCAGCAGCTATCAAACGCAAACATGCTGTTGGGCTGTCCAATGTTTGCCAGCTAGCTCAGCGTCTGAAGATCACATCGCGCAACATGTCAACCCATGAAGACTTCTCACAACCTGCTTGTTGGACTACATTTGGAAGATGCTCATTGACATTATTGCCAAGCAACATCTGTCAAATGATGGTGGCAAAGCACTCTTCTGAGCAGAATTCAACTAAACATGCTATTAGTCAAGATGCAATAGTTCACGCAACCCCAAGCTAAGTGGGTGGCTTTTGGGTGGACCACTGTTCGTCAAGACGTCTATTGATTTCAGTTAACATTCGGGGGCGAGAAGGGTGGCACGGTGCTTTGGGGGCACAGGCCCGTTTTCTTTTGTAGAAGGAACGTGAGCGCTGAAACCCAGGGTTCAATCAATCAAATTCAATGCAGCTGCAAGTTGCACCACCACCTAACTTGTCTAAAGGCTTCTTTCCATTGGTGAAAACTCCTGAAGGCTTCAGAGGAAAACAGGCAGTAGAACACAGAACAATTCCATCAATGGCTAGGATTGGTGCAATTTGGCGAGGTTGGGCCGAACGCAGCACGCCAAGATCCGCTTTTTGTCATCCCAAATAGTAGCGTGCTCTGCCAATGTTTCCGTTGGAGATTGTTTTCTGGCAAGAATGAATGAATGGAATGGAAGAATAGAATGGAATGGAATGGCATGGCATGGCATGGAAACGAACGGAACTAATGGATGGATGGATGGATGGATGGATGGACGGATGGATGGATGGATGGATGGATGGATGGATGAATGGATGGAAGGATGAACGAATGAACGAATGAACGACTGAACGAATGAACAAATGAACGAATGAACGACTGAACGAACGAACAAACGAACGAACGAACGAACGGATTAATGAATGAATGAATGAATGAATGAATGAATGAATGAATGAATGAATGAATGAATGAATGAATGAATGAATGAATGAATGAATGAATGAATGAAACGAACGAACGAACGAACGAACGAACAAACAAACGCACGCACGCACGCACGCATGAACGAACGATCGAACGAACGAACGAACAAATTAATGAATGAATGAATGAATGAATGAATGAATGAATGAATGAATGAATGAATGAATGAATGAATGAATTGATTGATTAATTAATTAATTAATCAATTAATGAATGATAATTATGATAATGAATCATAATAACAGCAATACTAATAGTAGTAATAGTTGTGGCAATAGCAAATCAATGATACTCGACATAGTAATAGTAGCAATGATAATCACAACAGCAGCACCACCACCACCAACAACAACAACACCAACAACAACACCGACAACAACACCAACAACAATGTCGGGGACAAAAACAGCAATCAACAACCAAAAAGCCACAACCACCAACAACCAACCACCAGCCAGCAACCAGCAACCAGCAACTACCAACCACCAACACCCATCCACCAACAACAAACAGCCTGCAACCAGCAACCAACACCCAACATGCAACAACCAACAAGCATCAACCAACAACCAACAACCAACATTCAACAACCAACAACCAACAACCAACAGCAAGCAACAACCAACAACCAACAACAACGAACAAACAGCAAGCAACCAACAATAAACAAGCAAGAAACAAACAACGACAGCAACCAAGAACCACCAACAACAAACAGCAACCAACCAACAGCAAACAACAACCAACCAACAACAAACACCAACCAACAAACAACAACCGCAACAACATTATCATTGTCATCAGCAAGAACAAGAACGAGAACAAGAGCAAGAACAAGAACAAGAACAAACAGACTAAACACAGAAGCAACAGGAACAGCAACAGCGACCACAAAGACCACACAGACCACAACAAGCACAAAGACCACAACGACCGCAACAACCACAATGTCCACGCCGACGACAACGGCAACTGTAGTTTGCAACGTGATGTATTTATCGACCATGTTAAACCCCAATGCATGAATGTCTCACTTGTGCAGTCTCATCATTACGACTGCATATGGCTCAAGGAAAAAGCGCGCTGTGTACAGGGTTCAATTGTGACCCTTCCCGGTTGTTTAACCTGTTCTATAGGTTATCAGCCGTAAGCGGCTCTTTGTACAGAGTTGTACGCCATGGATGGCGACCCTGGACTACCCCATACCGAGGTGCGTCCCACACCTGATGAGCCCGCAGGCGATGAAGACGCCTCGCAATATGAACCGACTAGTCGAGCAAACTCCCAAGTGGCCAGGGAGCTCATCAGGAAGGGACAAGCACTGAGCAGTCAGGGCCCCGAATCACTTCGATCCCGGAGTGACCGTGGGAGGACTGGGCGGTCTGGTGCTCGATCTCCTTCACCTGTTGGATCAGATCGGCATCGGCATGGTGACATCGTCATGTACGACCCCCAGACCGATCTCGCAAGGGGAAACCCTATGCCACAGTCCATGAATCAGTTCAACCAACATGTTGCAAACGTCCACCTCGATCCTTCAATGACGATCAACCAGGACGTGACGAACTATCAGCAGATCAACGCTACCCAGAACAATGCCCAATTCAACCAGTTCGTGAATCAGGACACCGGTCCCATGGTCGCCCAGATGGCGGAGGCAAGGCATGGTGAGATCATTGCCGGTCTCCAAAGCCAATCGGAGGCCATGAGACGCGAGATTCAGATGAATGCTGAGCAGCGTGTGAACACCATGAAGTCAGAAAGAGAAGCCGAGATGAAGTACCAAAACGCCATCAATACGATCAGCGAGCAGGAGAGACAGATCAGAGAGCTAAGGGCTATGGTCGAGCAGATGATGCAGAACCAACAGCAACCGCCTGCTCAACCTGCTCCTGCCCCTGCGCCTCCTGTTCAGCAGGCACCAGCTACCCCCTTGGCTATCCCGACAGTTCCTTTGGCTGCATCTCCACCCGGACTTTCGAATGCTTCCTCGCACAGTTGGACGAAGGTCGGGAGCGACCCCTACGGCAAAGACGGATCCGTTCCCGCCGGGGCCGTGGACGATGCTGCTACCGGAGACGGTTGGCCTTGCGATGATGGTGATGGTGGAAATGACAAGGACAAGAAAAAGAAGAAGAAGAAGAAAAAGAAGAAGGACCGTAGCCGACGCCGGCGACGAGATCCGTCATCTTCTCCCTCGTCATCTTCGTCATCAACTTCAACTGCATCGGATGAATCCTTTCGACGAAAGCTACTGAAGCACTTAGGTAATTCGAGCGATCCGACAGCGGAACGCGTTCGTGTAAAGGAGGGTGACAGAATTCAGATTCCCCGATTCCCGAAGCCCGAACAGTACCGTAATTGGAGGATCAAAGTTAGGGATGCTGTTGTTGCTACTTCCGACCAACCCGAAAAGGCATTTGAGTGGATTGAGGCAACTTGGATCCCAGGTCAAACTGTTGAAGTCCTTCGTGATTCAGGAATGTTTGTCCATCTTGATGCAAAGCTGGCATCGGCGTTGACGAATATCTTGGAGGGCGACCTCGCACGGCAAGTCGACATTTTCAAAGAACAAGAAGCAAAGGAGAAACGCTATGCGAGGGGGCGCCAAATTCTTTTGATGGTTCACAAGCACTTCAGCACGAACATCAAACATGGTGCAATTTACGACTTTGAGGACTTGCTCTCTGTCCAGCTCATCAACGAGGACCTCAAGAACTTCATGACGAGATGGGACACGGTCATCGCTGGAATGGGCAACGAGCAAAATGAGAAGACCCTTGAAGCGCTGTTCCACCGCCAGATTCGAAAGTTTCGGCCTCTCAGTCATGATCTCAATGAGTATGAGCGGGCTGAGGAAGGGACGGAAAAGCACTCCTATAAATTCTTGATTGACGCATCGAGGAATTATTTGGAGCGCAAGAGGCTTGTTCACATGCGGGATGCTATGTCAAGCAACACAACGGGACGTCTGCAGTTCCTGGAATCCCCAAGGGTGTATGTGTGAAATTTCAAACTGGCCAGTGCACCTATGGTTCAGACTGCCGATTCGAACATGTCAAGGCACCGAAAGGTAAGGGGAAAGGCAAGAAGGGCGGATCTAGACCCCAGACGCCAAGGAAGTGTCGTTCGCAGATTCCCCCTGGTTCGAAGCCCCAGGTGTGCAAGTTCTTCAAAGCGAACAGATGTGAGAGAGGGAAAGATTGCCCATGGCAGCACCCCGCAACTTCCAAGGCAGCTCCAGCCCCAAAGGCCGAGAAGACCGCTAGTGGAGACACCCCCAAGACATCGCCGAGAGAGAAAAAGAAGAAGAAGAAGAAGGGAAGCAGGCCTTCTTCTCAAGATTCGAAAGACTCGAAGGGTTCTCAGTCCCTCAAGTCCCCGCGATCGTCAAAAGGCAGCAATGCTGCGGTGTGCCTCCTCCAGGCGATGGTGTGCGCCGCGACCCTCGACTCGGTCGCCTCGCATCCTTGCTTGCCTAGTGTGACTCACGATGTTTTCCAGAGTATGCCATGTATCAAGAAGTGCGTGCAATTTTCTGATTACCCATCCATTTCGAACTATGAGACTGACGGCGAGCTTTGGCCCTACACTGCCTCGTCGAGAAGGTTTGCACACGAGTTTCCTGTTGATTATGTTCCGAAGTTCGATGAGAGAGCTGTCTCTGGCGCAACTCTTATCGGCA